ACTTGATGTGTTTCTCTTTGTAGGTAACTTGAACATTTTCCTTTGATTGCTTTTAGAGTCTTTTAATCTCCAAAAATTCTAGCAGAGTATGTCTTTTTTGAAATTGTTTTTCTTGTAACATGAAGCACAGCCTCCATTTCTGGATTTATGTTTTACTTGTTTAGATCGGGAAAGCATCTTTCTATTTTTGGGGGTTATTGTTTCTAAATTTGATATTTGCTATCTTTGGAAGTTTTATGGTCTGTCATTTGGATATCTTAAACTGAGCTTCCTTTTCTATCTTTTTCTACTTTTACTCTATTTCTGGAAGGATACTTTCTCATTCAAAAAATTTTTTTTCAGTATCAAATCTGTTATTCATGTCTGAAACCAGTTTTTTAAAAAAATTGTGTTTTCCATGTTCTTTTAATTGTAGATTATTTTTTATTTATGATTAATTATTTTAACTTGACAGATTAAAAAATCTCAAATGTTTTCTAAGATTTTTCACCTTTCTTTGTTAACTGTCTTTTAAAAGGAGCTGCCTTTTGTGATTCTTTTAAACCACAGCATCCTTTATTGACACCAAGATTTTTCCTCTCCTTCCCTGAAAGAAGGAGGTGAAGGCTTATTTGGTGTGGTGTACCAGTTAGCAATTTCTGCATAACAAACCACTCCAAACTTACTGGTTTTATATAATAACTGTATTTCGTTTATGATTCTGTGGAACAACAGTATAGGCTAGACTCAACTGGATGGTTCTTCGAGTTTTTGTTGGGCTCCTTCATGCATCTGTGGTTAACTTGAGGTCAGCTAAGTGACTCTGATTCCGAAAGTTGACGGGCTGCTAGCTAGGGCACCTCACCTGTTCTCCACAGCCTCTCATTTCCTCCTAGGCTAGCTTAAACGTGTGCTCATGAAAGGATAATGCATCCAAGAGAGCAAGGAGACACATGAAAACACCTTTTTTACACTTCTGCTTGCATTGAATTTGCTACTGTCTCATTAGTGAAAACAAATCACATGGCTAAACTCAGCTTCAGAGTTGGGAGGACTGTAGCATTACAGGGCAAAGGGGGTGAGGTCACCAAAATATTTGTAAAATTTGAGAATTTTATGTATCATAAGGATGAGTCCTTTAACTTCTTTCAGCTAGACAAAAAGCAAAACAAGCAGAGGTCCCAAAATGCAGTTACATTTTATATAAAGCAAGTGGTGTCTCAAAAGCATTAGGCTTTTCGAGTGATTTTAAGAAACTAAGGAATTAAATGATTGCTCACAGACTTTGGGAATTCCAAAGTTCCTACTATTAGTAGTGTATTAGTCAGTTTTCACACTGCTGATAAAGACATATCCAAGACTGGAAAGAAAAATAAGTTTAATGGACTCACAGTTTCACATGGCTGGATCGTGGTGGAAGGTAAAAGGCACTTCTTACATAACAGTGGCAGGACAGAATGAAAGTCAAGCAAAAGGGGTTTCCCCTTATAAAATAATCAGATCTCATGGACTTATTTACTACCAGGAGAACAGTATGGGAGAAACCACCCCTATGATTCAATTATCTCCCACCAGGTCCCTCCCACTACACATGGGAATTATGGGACAAGTTAAGATGAGATTTGGGTGGAGACGCAAAGCCAAACCATATCATTCTGTCACTGGCCCCTCCAAAATCTCATGTCCTCACATTTCAAAGCCAAATCATGCCTTCCTAGCAGTCCCCTAAAGTCTTAACTCATTTCAGCATTAACTCAAAAGTCCACAGTCCAGTCTCATCTGGCAAGTCGCTTTTGTCTATGAGCCTGTAAAATCAAAAGCAAGTTAGTAACTTCCTAGCCACAAGGCAGGTACAGGCATTGGGTAAATTCAGCCATTCCAAATGGGAGATATTGGCCAAAACAAAGGGGCTATAGGCCCCTTGCAAGTCCAAAATCCAGCAGGGCAGTCAAATTTTAGAACTCAAGAATGATCTCCTTTGACTCTGTCTCACATCCAGGTCATGCTGATGCAAGAGATGGGTTCCCATGGTCTTGGGCAGCTCTGCCCCTCTGGCTTTCCAGGGTATAGCCCCTACTCCTGGCTGCTTTTATGGCTGGCATTGAGTGTCTGCAGCTTTTCCAGGCACATGGTGCAAGCTGTTGGTGGATTCTGGGGTCTGGGGGACAGTAACCTCTTCTCACAGCTCCACTAGGCAGCACCCCATTGGGGACTCTGGGGGGGGGTACCTACCCCACATTTCCCCTCCACACTGCCCTAGCAGAGATTTTCTATGAGTGCCCCACCCCTGCAATAAACTTCTGCCTGGACATCCAGGCATTTATATACATCCTCAGAAATCTAGGTGGAGGTTTCCAAACCTTAATTCTTGACTTCCGTGTACCTGCAGGCTCAATACCATGTGGAAGCTGCCAAAGCTCCGGACTTGCACCCTTGAAGTCATGGCCTGAACTGTACCTTGACTCCTTTTAGCCATGGTTGGAGCAGCTGGGATGCAGGGCACCAAGTCCCTACACTGCATAGTGCAGAGGGACCCTGGGCCTGGCCCACAAAACCACCTTTTCCTCCCATGACTCTGGGTTTTTGATGGGAGGTGCTGACACAAATGTTTCTGACATGCTGTGGAGACATTTCCCCCATTGTCTTGATAATTAACATTTGGCTCCTTGTTACTTATGCAAATTTCTGCAGCCTGCTTAAATTTCTCCTCAGAAAACGGGATTTTCTTTCCTATCACACTGTCAGGCTGCAAATTTTCTGAATTTTTATGCTCTGTTTTCCTATTAAAACTGAATGCAGGCCAGGTGTGGTGGCTTACACCTGTAATCCGAGCACTCTGGGAGGCTGAGGCAGGTGGATCAGGCAGGGGTTTGAGACTAGCCTGGCCAACATGGTGAAACCCTGTCTCAACTAAATATATAAAAATTAGCTGGGCATGGTTATGCACATCTGTAGTCCAAGCTGCTTGATAGGCTGAGGCAGGAGAATTACACCAACCCAGGAGGTGGAGGTTGCAGTGAGCCGAGATCACACACTGCACTCCAGCCTGGATGACAGAGTGAGACTCCATCTCATAAAAGAAAACAACAACAACAACAAAAACTGAATGCCTTTAACAGCACCTAAGTCACCTCTTGAATGCTTTGCTGCTTAGAAATTTCTTCTCCAGATGTCCTAACTCATCTCTCTCAAAGTTCCACCAATCTCTAGGGCAGGGGCAAAATGCCATCAGTCTCTTTGCTAAAACATAACTAGTCACCTTTGTTTCAGTTCCCAACAAGTTCCTCATCTGTATCTGAGACACCTCAGCCTGGATTTTATTGTCCATATCATTATCAGCATTTTTGTCAAAGCCATTCAACAAGTCTCTATGGAGTTCAAAACTTTCCCACATTTTCCTATCTTCTGAGCCCTCCAAACTGTTCCAACCTCTGCCTGTTACCCAGTTCCAAAGGCACTTCCACATTTTCGGCTATCTTTTCAGCAGTGTCCCACTCTACTGATGCCAATTTACTGTATTAGTCTGTTTTCACATTGCTGATAAAGACATACCCAAGACTGGGAAGAAAAATAGTTTTAATGGACTCGCAGTTCCATGTGGCTGGGGAGTCCTCACAATCATGGCAGAAGGCAAAAGGCACATCTTACATGGTGGCAGCAAGAGAGAATGAAAGTCAAGCAAAAGGGGTTTCCTCTTATAAAACTATCAGATCTCGTGAGACTTATTCATGACCACAGGTACAATATGGGAGAAACTGCCCCCATGATTCCACTATCTCCCACCAGGTCCCTCCCACGCATGTGGGAATTATGGGAGTACAATTCAAGATGAGATTTGGGTGGGGATACAGAACCAAACCATATCCAGTAGTGTCAGCAAAGTTTAATTTCTTTCAAACCTTTGAGGTCCAGGCCAGGGCAAGGACTGGGCCATGGAAATATAAAGGAAGGAAGGAGGAAGATATGAGACAGATGTTGAAAAAAATGAGAAGCAATTGAGTTTAGCAAGTTAACTGTATCAAGAGTTACCAGAGATGATAGAGACTTGGATGGTTCTGAATTTGTAATGCAAATGATTGGGAGACAGAAATAGCACTATCTTGGCTATTTATGAGGGGAGAAATAACGAGTTTTGAAACATGCTGAGTCTGAGCTGGTGAGGCATCCATGTGATAATGCCCATCGGTTATTTTTTATATTTTTAATCTCAAGATGCAGTTTTCTTCTACAATCATAGGTATGACTCATAGAAGTCCTTATTTTTAGAAATGAAGCACATTAAAGTGGTTAGTTATAGGATTTAACAGCCTAACATAGTATGTTTTTCAATGGTAGAAAAATCATCAAAAATATCATTGACAAGAGGAAAATAAACCAGAGTCAAAAACATTATTTTCACATCCTTTTATTTTCTAGTCAAGCGTTTAATGGGAATTGATTTGCTATCTTTCGGTGGCTCAAAGGAACTATCCACTCACCTCTAGTAAACATACAGAAGCAAACATCTTATTGACGGTGAATTGACAGAGTCCTCTGTACAAATAAAAAAGAAAATGATAAAGAAATAAATGCTTTGCTATTTCTAAAGAGCCTTCAAAAAATCAATTATTTACATAAATTAATATAAAACTTCAAAATAAAATAATCTTTAGAATTTAAATTGTGTATTCTCAAATAATGAATAACTTCCATATCAAAATAAATCATAGTTTACCAAGCAATTTAACATGTTATCTCAAGTGAGCATCTCAAATCTGTGACAAGGTAGGGGTCCTTACATCCTTATGAGGACTGTAGAACCCGGAAGGGCTAGTTGATATGTCCATGATTGACCAACTAACAAAAATGGGATATTTTATTCAAGCAGTCTGATTTCTGAGTTCAAAATTCTTTAAAGTTTTGAAAAATAATTTAAAAAGTGTATGCATGTGTGGGAGACAATGATACATCTTTCCTAATTCCTTTTAACCACGAAGATGAAAGTCTGTCTTTTGAATGACTTAATTTTTTTTAATTCACAGTTTTGATGCCGTATCCATGAAGGCCCACTCAGGAACACAGAAGCGGCACCAGTTATTCGAACAAGAGTAACTTGACATGAGAAATCGATTAAACAGATATGAGAGGACTAAAAAGGTAATGCAAACATAGTCACTGCAGGAAGCATCTACCACCTTTGGGGCTGGGAGAACAAAGGGCAACTGAAAGTTGGGTGGGCATGTAGGGAAATGGTAACTGGCTAAGGATATGTTGGCATGCCACTGACAAGGTCTGCTGCAGGGATATGCAGAGAATAATTGATTTTACTGGTATTACTAGTTTCATTTAACTTGCTTTATCAAAATGCCACTAAAAGTCGAATCCCAGCTTTTCAGAGGTTTGAGCTACTCTGAAAAACAGTTGTGCAAAATCCAATCAGGTATGTCAGTGGCATGGGGCAGTTGGACTATTGGGAGTGAAACTCCCTGGTACAGGCAGTAGGGAGATAATCAACTGCAGAGAATTTAAAAACGGTAATAAAACCGATTAAAAGACAGTTTGTTTTTATTATCACACTGCATTAGCAATTCTAAACAATGTCAGTGAAGTACTCCTCCCTCATGGATAAAACATCGCCCCCCCCCACTCTGTTCCTTGTGTATGCACTGCAATAAGCTGCTTTATCTTCTAGGGAAATATATTTATGGTCAAATTATCTCAGGTGAGCATCTCAAGTCTGTGAACAGGTAGGAATCTTTAAATACCCATGAGGACTTCAGAGCTCAGAAAGACTAGTCAGTATGTCCATAGTCAACCAACTAGCAAAAAAGGGATCTTTTATTCAGGGATTCTGATTTCTGACTTCAACATTCTTTTAATTATAAGTTTTCGAGTAGCAGTTAAAAAAAATATGCCTTTGGGGAGATAATGGTATAACAAATGAAGCCACTTGTTTCCCCCTAAGTTTCTGGATTCTCCAAGCAGTCTGCTGAATGAAGAATGACTGCACCTTAACATTCTAAATCATTCACATGAGTAGGCCTAATTTCAGTAATGATGCTGAAGTAAACTACTATGGTTACATTTAGCACATGGCTGAGAATCGTATTTTTTTTCTTTTTTATTTGAGATGGAGTCTCGCTCTGTCGCCCAGGCTGGAGTGCAGTGGCATGATCACGGCTCACTGCAAATTCTGCCTCCCAGGTTCAAGCGATTCTCCTGCCTCAGCCTCCTGAGTAGTTGGGATTACAAGCACGGCCACCACGCCCAGCTAACTTTTATGTTTTTAGTAGAGACGGGGTTTCACCATGTTGGCTGGTCTGGTCTGGATCTGACCTGGTGATCCACTTGCCTCGGCCTCCCAAAGTGCTGGGACTACAGGTGTGAGCCACTGCGCGTGGCTGAGAATTGTGTTAATAGTTGACCAAACAAGAGAACTTTCTTTATCTTCTGTTGATAGTCAGTAGCCATTGTGCAGAGGTGAAGCTCCTGCCTACTCTATTGTTTGAAAAGACAAAAGATTGGGAAATATTAAACCCTAGTGCTCATCAGAAATCCTTGCTATTAACTTTGTTCCACATGGTTGCTCAGAGACCCAGATCATTGCTTCCATTTTATTACTTCACCATCCCAAGGATATCAATTTCATCTGTGTGGGAGAGTTGAGTCATTGCCTTGTTCCCTGGTGTGTGGAGGGCCAATGATTTTTTTTTTTTTTTTTCAAACAAGTGATACAGAAGAAGCCTGTATCACTTTCATTCATATCCTGCAATCTAAAAGTATTGTTTAGGAAAATTGAGCATATAATCTCACAATGCTACTTTAAAAGAAACTAAATACATGCTCTAGATCTATCAAGCAAAAGAAAGACACAGAAATGTCATTTCCTCTGAGTCCTCTCTACTTCATTGCCAGGCATGAGAAAACTGCCTGCTTAAAGGATTCATCGTGAGAAGCCAGCCCTATGGGAGTTATTTACTTATGAGAAGCTGAGAAACACAGTCTCTAGCTAGGCGACCATGGCTCAGCTTAAACTGAATTCATATGGAAGAAAGGAAGATCAAATTTTAAGGAGCAGTTAGCAGTCTGCCACAAACAGTATGTATTCACAGAGTTTTATAACGTGTCTTATCTCACAGCTAAAAAGATAAGATTCAGCCCACAGCTAAGAGAGCAAGTTTTAGTAACAGCTTCTAGAGATTGTGAAATTGACAGATGAGTGAATATGTATTCACACAGACATAATGAGATTATAACGTCATGATGAAATCAGAACTCTGTATTTGCATTTTATTTCAATACAATGTTTTTCTTGCCAGATAGAGGAAAGCTCATTTGTTCTTCTGGATGCAAGAACAATGCAAGCAATTAAAATATAGCAACTTGCTACATATTTGGAAGACCTATTTTTAAACAATATGAATATTATTTATTTAAACACTTAGATTTCCTTGGAGACTTTTACCTCAAGGTCTACACAAACCAAGAAAACAGTTTTAATTATTTTAATTTGAGACAGGTTCTTGCTCTGTCGCCCAGGCTGGAGTGCAGTGACCCTATCACAGCTCACTGCAGCCTCAACCTCCCCAGGCTCAGGTGATCCTCCCACTCAGCATCCCAAGTAGCTGGCACTACAGTTGCATGCCACCATGCCCGCCTAAATTTTCTATTTTTTGTGTGTGTGTGGAGACAGGGTTTTGCCAGGTTTCCCAGGCTGACTCAAGTAATCCACTATCCTGGCCTCCCAAAATGTTAGGAGTACAGGTGTGAGCCTCTGTGCCTGGCCGAAGAAAACATTTTTATATGGAAAACACTGTATAAAAAAACCAGGGGAAAGTCTTCCTGTCCTGACACTATTCAGTCAAATATACAATGTTTGCCAGACTACTGAGGAAAGCCACCATCTCTGGTGATGGCCAGCATTTTCTTTACTGATGTCAAATCAGCAGTTAATAGCGTAACCTCATTTTGTCTACTTTATTTTATAACTAGGTTACATAGCAGTTCACTAATAGGTATGATACTGAATATATTGCCAGATACAAGTTGTCAAAATTGTCTGTGGCCTGAACTCCTATTATTTTGGCATCTCCCTGGTGTTTATTACTGGCAGAAGTGAAGTTGGTATTACAATTGCCTGCATATGCTGCTTCACAGAAGAGTAAGGGATCAATTTCCTCCTAGTAAAAGAGATTATTAAAAAATAGAATTATAAGCATAAATTCTATTTTAAAATGTTGAGATAACACTATTGGCATAACTTGAAGATCACACCCAACTAAAGCATGAACTACAAGTCTTATTACTTATTACAAGATCTTTTATTACTATGCAGAGGTTCAGTTGACTACCCTACAAAGAGGGTGAGTATGTTAAAACACAAATAGGAAAAACGCGTTCTATATACAGTCATGTGCCTCGGAATGATGTTTTAGTCAATGGACCACGTATATATATGAGTGGTCACATAAGATTATAATGCCATATTTTCACTGCCCCTTTTCTATGCTTGGATATGTTTAGATACGTACATATTTACCATTGCCTTACAGTTGGCCACAGTATTCAATGCAGTCACATGCTGAGCAGCTTTGCGGCCTAGGAGCAACAGGCTACTCCCCATTGCCTATAGCGGGCTGTGCCATCTAGGTTTGTGTAAGTACACTCTGTGTATGAGATCTACACAATGACAAAATCACCTAATGGCATATCTCTCAGAATGTATCCCCGTTGTTAAGTGACGCAGAACTGTTTCATGTAGCATTTGAAAATAAAGTAATTTGTTTCGCAGAAATGTCAAAAATGGATTTCTTTTTCCTCAATAAAATGTGGCTGCTTCTAGGGGAAAATTAACATACAGGACTTGAACTTACAGTGTTAAAACCGTGGAAGGAAATCTTAGAGCGCATGTTGTTAAACATTCCCCAAGTCACACGTTACTTCATCACCCCTGACAGATTCCCCTCCATTCACCGCTGTCTGAATGCTTCCGTGAGGCAGACCCCATTCCATTCCCTCACTGTATTGATGGACAGCTCTAAACTGCCTCTTCAACGTCTTATTCTCATCAGCCTTTTCTGAAACAACAGCGCAAATCTGATCTCATTTCTCCGATTATCCATCACATTTTTGAGGAGTATTATTTTTTTTCCCGGCTAACCACTCCCAACTTTTTCCATATTCCTTGATAGAAATCACTTCCTGTCCCACTGCGATTCTGATGACCTTCCTCTGGACATACTTCTGTTTTTCAATGTCCTTCAGAAAAATATTATAGATGTCTTGTGAGCAGTCCAGAGAACACAGTCCAGTAAAACAATCTTTTATGAGCTTGGTGATAAGCATTTATTGATGACAGTGATGCGGCATTCACTTTCGCATCAGTTGAACCCTATGGCCTTGTGTGAACGGCATGGGGAGCCCTCTTGTTCCCAAGTACGGCCTTGCAAGGAGTCTGTACTTCCATCTCTAGTGATTGAAAGATTGGATTTATTCACTTGATACTAAAGTGTTTTGTTTTACACACATTTTAAATTCCTTTAGTAAAATATGTCATTGGATATAGGTAATACTTTTAACCTTTTTCTACGGATCTTTTATTTGGATTTAGTTGACAACTACATGAGAGCAGGAAGGGAGAAAAGCTGGCAGTAGAGAGTTCATGAAATGAAAAGCATTTTCAATATCATTGCCATGAAGACAGCGACAGGGAATCGGGAAGATACCGAAGAATACGTTTTACCAACTACAAAACTTTCCTGACTCTTGGTGTGTTGTATTGCATTTGCTGACCTTTAGTGTTTATACTTGGAAGTTACTTTGTATTTCAGACATCTAAAACCAGGAATGGTCTAAAGATAACTAAAGAGAGAAACAGTACATACAATTTTTGGGTTCACATCTTAGATTAAGACTGTGTCTACTATTAGGTTGATACAAAAGTAATTACTTTCAATGAAAAAAATCTGCCATTACTTTTGCATCAGCAATTTCTTTTGCATACTTTAAAAAGATCCTCTCTTTTACCCCATGTCTTTACATTCAAAGTTGGCTTTTTATACACAGCACACAGCTAGGTATTGCTTTCCATCCCATCTGACAGTTGCGATTGAACTGGAATATTTAAACCAGAGCTGTCACAAATATATATAATGTGAACCACATATGCACTTTAAAAATTTTGAGCATTCACTTTAAAAAAGTAAAAAGAAAGGTGAGTTGAATTTTGTTTTGTTTTTTTTTTTTTGAGACAGAGTCTCGCTCTGTCACCAGGCGGGAGTGCAATGGTGCGATCTCGGCTCACTGCAACCTCCAACTCCCTGATTCAGGCTATTCTCCTGCCTCAGGCTCCTGAATACTTGGAATTATAGGTATCTGCCACTGTGCCCAGCTAATTTTTTTGTATTTTTAGTAGACATGGGGTTTCACCATGTTGGCCAGGATGGTCTCATCTCCTCACCTGGTGATCCACCAGCCTTGGCTTCAAGAGTGCTGGGATTACAGGCGTGAGTCACCGCACTCGGCCAGACTTTAAGTATATATTTTATTTAATCCAGAACATACAAAATATTTTCATAGGTAATCAATATAAAATCATTGATAGATATTTTACATTATTTTTTGTGTGGTCTTCAAAATTCAGTAATTTAGACCACTCATTTATGAAATATTTGATAATCACATGTATCTAGTGGTTATCAAATTGGATAGTTTTAGACAATTATGTTTAATCATCATTAATTAGATTAAATGTGTCATCTTTCTAGTTTATTTTTTTAATTTAAATTATTGTTTGTTCCTGTCTCTCTTTTATTGACTTCCACCCTTGTCATGCTGTAGTGAGGTTCTCTAAGCTCCTGCTGTGGGGTGGTGTTAGAGTAAGCTAAGTAGGAAATTGGGACTTTATCACTTCTGGATGTTGATGAAGACATTCCCCCCATTCACAGCATCAGCGAGGAGACTTTTTTTTTTCCATCTCTACCTAGCAGTAACGATGCTTTCTTCCCCTACACATAGGGGTAGTGTCAAAGGGGACCTAGTAGAGACTGAGATGGTTTATCCCTGCCCACACTACCCCAGTGGCATCAGTAGAAGCAGAAACAAGGCACTCCCAGCTTTCCCAGTCAGAGTAATATCAGTAGAGACCTTTCAGGGAGTGGGAGCTCCCACCTCTTATCAGCGGTAATGAGGGAGATCCTCACCCCTTTGGGTATTAATAGAATCCCGGTGGGGAGTCTGGACTTCTGCCCCACCTAGGAGTAGTGCACCAGGACTGTCCTTCTCCTCTTCTCTTTCCTATATAGTGTCAGAGAGGGTCACCTACAACAGAAGTCTTATAAAAATACAAAATCTCATGATATAATACTCAAAATGTCCAGATTTAAATAGAAGCATCACTAGTACATCATAAAAAGAACAAGGAAATCTAAACTTGAATAAAAAAGAAACACATGCAAACATCAAGATAACCAAAATATTAGAATGATCTTACACAAACATTTATGGCAGCCATCATAAAAATGCTTCCATGGGCAATTATGAGCATGCTTGAAACAAATAAAAAAAAAGAACTAAAGAAATAAAAGCTATGAAAAGGAGCCAAATGGAAAGTTAAGAACTGAAAAATTTAGCTAAAATCTAAAACTTAATAAGCTCAAAATCAGAATGAAGGAAACAGGAAAGAATCTGTGAACTTCAAGGTAGAACTATAGAAATTATCCACTTTTAACAAGAAGAAGGCTCATCTGAAACGCAACATTCCACAACATTCCTCACATGCTGGAAGAAGAATGATTAGAGCCCTACTCCTGTAAGATTATGACAAACGCTCAAACATGCGTGTAATAAGAGTCCTACAAGAAGAGGGGAAAGAAGGTAAGATGGAAAAAGTGGCCGGGCGCGGTGGCTCACACCTATAATCCCAGCACTTTGGGAGGCTGAGGCAGGTGGATCACGAGGTCAAGAGATCGAGACCATCCTGGTCAACAAGGTGAAACCCCGTCTCTACTAAAAATACAAAAATTAGCTGGGCATGGTGGCACATGCCTGTAATCCCAAATACTCAGGAGGCTGAGGCAGGAGAATTGCTTAAACCTAGGATGCGGAGGTTGCGGTGAGCCAAGATTGTGCCATTGCACTCCAGCCTGGGTAACAAGAGTGAAACTCCGTCTCAAAAAAAAAAAAAAGATGGAAAAAGCACCTGAGGAAATGGTGGTTGGAAACTCCCCAGATTTGGTAAAAGACATAAACTATACACTCAAGAAGCTGAATAAATATAAAATAGTATAAACCCAAATAATCATAAACCAAGACACAGTCAGTTTTCTGAAAACTAAAGACAAAAATCTTGAAAGCAGTAAGAAAGAAATGACTGTGTATCATAGAAGAAAAAGAATTTGTATGATTGCAGATTTCTCACTAAAAATTATGACTGACAGAAGGAGGTAACACAACATCTCTCAAGTGCTGAAAGAAAAGAGCTCCCAACCCAAAATCCTATATCCAGCAAAAATATCACTCAGGAATGAAGGGGAAATTAAGATAGTATTAGATAAAGACAAATTAGAAGAATATGTTGCCAAAAGGACTACCCTGAAAGATTGGCTCAAGGGAGTTCTCTAAATAAAAAGGAATAATAATAGAAGAAAAACTATTTTGGCCCTACAAAGGGCACAAACTCATCTTTTTTTATTGCTGCATAATAGTCCATGGTGTATATGTGCCACATTTTCCCTGTCCAGTCTATCATCGATGGGCATTTGGGTTGGTTCCAGGTCTCTGCTATTGTAAACAGTGTTGCAATGAACATTCGTGTGCATGTGTCCTTATAGTAGAATGATTTATAGTCCTTTGGATATATACCCAGTAATGGGATTGCTGGGTCAAATGGAATTTCTATTTCTAGGTCCTTGAGGAATCGCCACACTGTCTTCCATAATGGTTGAACTAATTTACACTCCCACCAGCAGTGTAGAAGTGTTCCTATTTCTCCACATCCTCTCCAGCATCTGTTGTCTCCAGATTTTTTAATGATCGCCATTCTAACTGGCCTGAGGTGGTATCTCAATGTGGTCTTGATTTGCATCTCTCTAATGACCAGTGATGATGAACATTTTTTCATACGTTTGTTGACCTCATGTATGTCTTCTTTTGTAAAGTGTCTGTTCATATCCTTTGCCCATTTTTGAATGGGCTTGTTTGTTTTTTTCTTGTAAATCTGTTTGAGTTCTTTGTAGATTCTGGATATCAGCCCTTTGTCAGATGGGTAAACTGCAAAAATTTTTTCCCATTCTGTTGGTTGCCGATTCACTCTAGTGACTGTTTCTTTTGCTGTGCAGAAGCTGTGGAGTTTGATTAGCTCCCATTTGTCTATTTTGGCTTTTGTTGCCAATGCTTTTGGTGTTTTGGTCATGAAGTCCTTGCCTTCTCCTATGTCCTGAATGGTTTTGCCTAGATTTTCTTCTAGGGTTTTTATGGTGCCAGGTCTTATGTTTAAGTCTTTAATCCATCTGGAGTTAATTTTAGTGTAAGATGTCAGGAAGGGGTC